TGTTAGAATCTGATATGGTGAAAATACATTTAAAAAATTTGCTTTATAATATCTAATATCAGATATACTAATTTCCCGTTCCTGGTTTTGCGCGACAACGTTGCGCAGCTACTTATTGGTTATATCTAATGTTACGATATATATATATATGTATATATTTAAAAAAATTGTTACCGTGTCGGAAGCAGGGGTTCTATGCTAGTTACTCAAAAAGGATAAATGGCAAAGAAGTAACATTTTGCATTTATGATGGACAATATTATAATCCGTAACTAAGACAATGCTGTCGAGAAGAAACACACGTAAATTTATTAAATAAGATTTGCTGGTTTTCTCTTGGTAGCACCCATATTAAATATTTTGACATGTAGTTACGTACCCAATTGTCCGAAGAGCGTACATGTACGCAAATTTTGGATTTTGATTGGTTAAAAATAGGCGTTTTTCCGGGCTTATCCGTGTTTATTCTTCGAACTTAAATGGGTTCCCATTAACCTAGTGATATTATTCTTGCGTAACTAAGGATAGACAATTTTGTGCTCTCATATTAAATATTTAAGCATGTAGTTACGTACTAAATTAAAATAGCATGATAATATTCTTTAATCTAGAAAAATGCAAAAATGAAGATTATTATATTAATTGCTCTTGTTTTCTGTATTATCCACCCTTATAGGAATATTTCCGCATTTCCTGCGGGAAGGGCAGAACATAGTGCAGTTTATATTGCTAGTAATAAAAAACTTTACATTCTTGGCGGATTAGATTCCAGTGGAAATGCTAGTAGTAATCAGTTATTTTATATTGATGCTTCAGAAGCTTTCACGATTAGTATACCTTCAATCAAATGGGTTGACCTTTCTTCGACAGTAGGAATAACAAATCGAAGTAGTGCAACAGCTTGTGATGATAGTAATACAATTTTTTATATTGGTGGAGTGCATCGTGGAGGTCTTGTTAGTAGATTTGATACATTATCTAGAACATGGAGTGAACCAGCTACTTCTGGATCAATACCTGCAGAAGTATTAACATACACACAATGCGTAACTTTAGGACATAAGATATATATTCATGGTGGGCTAAGCTCTTATAAGATTAATATATTAGATTCTTCACAATTAAGCTGGTCTTCGTTTTCATCGCCATTAATGTATAGTGGAACGCAAGGTTACAGCGCTACATTACTAAACGATTTAATTTTGTACATCGGAGGGGGATTTGATTCAGTTAATGTTTGTGAATATAATTCAAATAATAAGGTATAATATTAAGCTTTCTGATTATTTTGCAAATAGCACACCAAGTTTCTTGATTAATATACATTAAAACGAGGCTTATGGAAATGACAAATGTACAATATAAACTTTGGCTACATCTGTTATTTTAGTAGATTATAAGAAGCATTTATAAAAAGATATTATTTGCTAAATATTATTGTAATTTTAATTAAATATATAACCTTATACAAAATCAGATATCAGTTTCAGCTTTCAATACAAGTGATCATACTTGGAACGTGATTGTAAGTTTTGATAAAATTGGTAATTTCAAATTTTAATTATTATCAATAAGTTTACAGTCTGCTTCAATTGATATATTGTCAATTAACTTAGCAAACATATGGTAATGCACCTTCTGCAAAGTGCGGCCATTCATCAGTTTATATTCGTATGTATTAATATAAATCTCAAAAATATTTTAATTCTTTCTCCCTCGATATATATATACTAATTTTGTTAATTAAATAGCTCAACAAAAAAATAGAATTTTATTATTTTACGGAAGTAATGATATTTCAATTAATTCACTCAACACTTTGACATTTAATTGGACAATTCCTGTGATTTCAGGTAATGGAGGACCTAAACAAAGTTTAATGCAGCATACCTCTACATTAGTTGGCGCTTATGTTTTTATTGTATTTGGTAAGTATCGGTATGAAACAATTGTTATAAATAACATGAAAAAATATCCAGGCTATTCAGATTACATAATATTTAATCTTCATGTCTAGGGTATTATCCTAATTATACTATTTCATCTGATGTATTTGCTCTTGATGTGAGCAATAACGATAACTATAAATGGGTAACGGCTTATGATCCTGTTAATTCAATTACTCCTATACCAACTCCGACTGTCAGTTCGACACCGAGTTCAACATCAACAACTTCAACTTCAAATACTAATATTGGTGCTATTATCGGAGGTGTAATCGGTGGAATCGCAGGACTTATATTATTATCATGTACTGCAATAATTATCATTCTTATAGTTAAGAAAAAATATTTAGATAATGATAATATTGCCATTCCAGAAAATTGAATCGCAAATACTCAACCTATAACATAATATATATGTTATGTGTCATTTCTCAATTTATGTCAATTATTAATTGATGCGTCATTTTTCAACTTAAAATCATGTCGTTTTTTTAAATCGATATTTGAACTTATGCTTAAATACAAAATATTGAGTTTTATATATGTACATTTGACTGAACAGATTCAACTAATGCAATAAATATTTTAATAATAAATATAAACATTTTTGCATTGACCGTCTAAAATCGTCTAAATCATCTAAAATCGACTTGAACATGATACAAATAAAGATGCTGGTGAAATTGTTTACCAAATTGGTAAATTCGTGAAATTGGTGAAATAAATAAATTTATAATAATTATAGACTTTAAATATATCATATTTAGTTATCTAAATTTTATTAGTTTACACAGTGTTTATACACGGGTACTAAATTATTGGGTTACAAATTTATTGTCCGAAGGAAGGACATGGTAGATGAAATAGTATAA